AGGAATAGTGTAGATATGTTGTTGTTGTTGTCAGGTGCCATCAAGTCAGAACCGACTCATAGCGACCCCATGCACAGCAGAACGAAACAATGTCTGATCCTGGGCCAACCTCATTACCGCTGCCACACTTGACGCCATCAATGATGCCACCTGGCTGATCCATCTCGTTGGGGGTCTTCCTCTTTTTCTCTTATCCTTCATCTTACCCAGCATGACATCCTTCTCCAGCGACTGTTCCCTCCTGACAATATGTCCAAAGTATGAGAGACAAAGCTTATTAGCCATCCTGGCCTCCAAGGAGCACTCTGGCTGCACTTCTTCTAAAACACATCTATTGGTTCTTTCGGCAGTCCGTGGCACTTTCAGTATTCTCCTCCAACACCACAACTCAAAGGCATCAATTCTTCTACCATCTTCCTTATTCACTGTCCAGCTTTCGCATCCATATGAGGTTAATGAAAATACCATGGCTTGGGTCAGGCGCACCTTAGTCCTCAAGCTGACATCTCTGCTCTTCAACACTTTAAAAAGTTCCTGTGCAGCAGATTTGCCCAATGCAATACGTTGTCTGATCTCTTGACTGCTGCTTCCATGAGTGTTGATAGTTGAACCAAGAAGAATGAAGTCCTTGACAACTTCAGTCTTTTCTCCGTTGATAAGAATGTTGTTTATTGGTCCAGTGGTGAGGATTTTTGTTTTCTTGACATTGAGATGCAACCCATACAAAGGCTGTGCTCTTTAATCTTCATCAGTAAATGTTTCAAATCCTCTTCACTTTCAGCAAGCAAGGTTGTATCATCTGCATATTGCAGGTTGTTAATGAGCCTTCCTCCAATCCTGATGCCACGTTTTTCTTCATAGAACACAGCTTCTCATATTATTTGCTCAGCATACTGGTTGAATAAGTATGGTGAAAGAACACAACCTTGTTGCACACCTTTCCCAATTTTAAAACATTCAGTGTTCCCATGCTCTGTTCGAACAACTGCTTCTTGGTCCAGGTACAGATTCCAAAGAAGTACAATTAAGTGTTCTGGAATACTCATACTTCTCAATGTTGTCCATAGCTTGTCTTGATCCACACAATCGAAAGCCTTTGTGTAGTCAATAAAGCATAGGTAAACATCTTTCTGTGTAGATAAAGAACTTCCAAATGACAAGGAAGTCCAGTAGATATCAGGATAAAACAACTGCTTTAAACAGGGAAAAAAATTAATGCATTAATAAATTACAGGTGACTTCAGAGAAAATGATACACTTTGACATCAAAAGAAAAAAGAAAAATTTAAAAACATAGTAAATGTAATACAACAGAAATGCAAATTAAAATAAAATTCAGAAATAAAGTGATGTCAGTGCAGAAAATTTTGTGAGAGATTAAGTTTTTATTGTGAATTGAGTGATAGTTTACATGGGAGAACATTGGTTTTACACCATCGTTTCTTTGCAATGATTACAATCTTCTCCATGCGTTATCATTCAACAGTATTTGTTTCTATTTCCTCTGTTTTTTGGGGGGTGGGGTACGGGAAATATGCACAAAAACACTCAGTAATATATAATAATTTAAACAACAAAAGGGCACATTCTACAAGCCTGCCTCCTGGCCACCAGCACTCAGTCTTTCTCTTTCCATGAGTCTAGAGTCCTCAGCTGCTCCCTCTCTCCATGTCCTCATCTCTTCCTCCATCTCTGGTGTCACTGCTTATTCTGGATAGGGTCCCGCATTCTGCTTGTGCTCTTTTCCCTAAATAGTCCTAGGGTCCTCTATTTTTGGACTGTAAGATTAACGATTCTTCTGTTTTTGTTAATAAAACTTCTACCTTTACAGTTGTTGACAGTGGCAGTTAGTCATGATAACAATTCCTCACTATTAAATCATAAGAATGTTATCCCCATCTCTTTTCACCAGACCTGTCTAGACAAGACGAAAACTCTTCAGTGGGGACTCTACCTTCCTCCGCACACTCTTTAGCTAAACTTCCGCTTGAAAACTTGTAACCTAGTCACTTCGTGTCTTTATCGCCCTCTCATTTTAGATAGCCAATGTCTAAATTGCCCGCCACTATCTACCCTATATACAGAGGGCATAGGATTGATACTTGATGTGAAGATTCCTTCCTTCTCAGTTGGTATTTTGAGCTACTACGTCTATAAGTATAGGTCCAGTTCATCAAATTATAGCTATTTACACTTGTTTCCTTTATCAAAAATTGTTAGAAGTGGTTTTCTTGATAAAAGAAACAATCTTTGATGGTTACGGGAGGGAAATTTTTTTTTTTCAAATTGTATCTGCAGTATTTCTGAAGAGGGTGATTTCTGTGGATGAGGTCTAGAGACTGAGTGAGATTATGAAAGAAAGGGATTTAACATTGAAGAATGGAAGGTAATAGTGGCTGTCGAGAAGTATGAAGAGTATTCCAGGTATGGTAGATAATAACAGTTGTGAAAGAAGACAAGAATGAATGTACTTTATATGGAAGACTATATGAAGGTAGGTCTATAATGTGGAAGAATTGGGATTATTACAGTTTAGTCAGTTCTGACTCATAGTGACTTTAAGGCTGCAAATCTTTCAGGTGCAGAAAGCCTCATCTTTCTTCTTTGGAGTGGCTGGTGGGTTCAAACCCACTGAACTTGTGGTTCACAGCTCAGTGCTTATCCTAGAGTCAACATGCTCTCCCCAGTAATTATTTAGGGGATATATTATAAGTAACATTTGACCCATGGCCAAATGTGTGTCTTATATTTATATATACAATCAATTTGAGTCCTTCTATGGTGTTGTAAAAGGAGCTCTGGTAGCGTAGTGGTTACGAATCGGGCTGCGAACCTTAGGGTCAGCGGTTCGAAACTACCAGCCGCTCCGCGGGAGAAAGATGAGGCTTTCTACTCCCGTAAAGATTTACACCCTCGGAAACCCTGTACAGGGTCGCTATGGGTCGGAACCGACTCGATGGCACTTAACAACAACAACAACATGGTGTTGTAAACGAGCTCTGGTAGAGTAGTGGTTACGAGTCGGGCTGCCAACCTCAAGGTCGAAACTACAGCTGTTCCGCGGGAGAAAGGTGAGGCCTTCTGCTCCCATAAAGATTTACAGCCTTGGAAACCCTGTGCAGGGTCACTATGAATTGGAGCCGACTCCAAGGTACTTAACAACAACAACAAATGGTGCTGTAGGATAAGCACTGACTGTAGGGTCAGCAGCATTCAAACTCACCAGCCACTCCTCGGAAACCCCATACAGAGTCACTATGAGTTGGAACTGACTTGACAGCAGGTATCAACAACAATGGTCAGTTTAGGTCAAAGCGCTTTTTATTCCCTGTCGATCTATTGAACTGCTCAGAAACTACCCGAATGAATTAAAATATCATCCTGATAGTGGTTTGTGATTTGTCTTCTCTGAATATAAAGGAGTAAAGTGGATGGATTTGGGGAATTATGGGGTTAGAATGGTGAGTAGAAATACTGGCTAAATGGAACTTTTTATAAGATTTGATTAGATTTTGATTCTTAGTTTGGGAAACCAGTCTGCCAGGATGAACCATGGTGCCCAGAATATATGTGTATATCGGGAATTGGCTTTACTGAAATTACCAAGTTGCAGATTTGGCATAGCACATACTAGCCGGATTTAAATTTTGAAGGAAAGGCAACTGATTCATCAGATGAACTGCATTCCTGAACTTGTCTGCTAACATTATTAGGAAAGTAGTAGCCCATCCTTTCCTTAGAATTGTCTTTTGATTTATTCATATTAAAATTATAGATGATATTTCTAAGAACTAAATGTTACTTTTTGTGATAATTTTCTTACCTTTTGTTTTCATGTCATATTAGTGACCATGACAATATGATGCCGTTTTAATAAAACTGTGGCAAAATCCTTAGTTCAAGTTTTTTTCCTTTTTTTTTTTAAATAGACAAACATTGTTGGCAGATATTTAAAAAGTGTATCTCCTTTCGCTCTCAAATTGTTTTCATTCTGAAGTTGCGTTTCTGGTTTTCGCCTATTGTAAAGTGCACTTCTCTGCATGTTCTAATTTGCCATGACGTGGTCAAGTACTGTTTCCTTCCTGTTGCTTGCAGGCTTGTGCTAGAGATAAGGATACATTTCATTGCATTAGAAGAGAAGCCACCCAAGACAGGCTTAAGTATGGTAACTCTTAGAGCCTTCTACTTACCAGAAACCTTTCTAGAGAACCGAAAGTATGGGTTGTTTTATTTTCTGCTTATTTTTAAAAGCTGTTAAAATAGTACTTAAGAACTTAACGTGTATTAGACATTTAAGCAGATTTTAAATTCACATGTATACTAGGCCCAATAGGAGTGTTGTCTATTAAAGACATATATACATATTTTTAAATTATTCATCGAGCAGCAATTTCAATAGGTGGTTTGCCCTCTTTATATAGCTTTTATTTCCATGACAAATGTACTAATATTGCTAAATTTTGTATGTGTGTATCTGTTTAATATTCAGTACTTTAACCATAGTTTAACGTGAGCAGGGGGCTGAGGTTGGCTTCATTTATAGTAATGAAAGGTACTTTTATCTTAGTGAGAATTAAATCTTAAAAGAATATCTAAGAAATATTTAAAAGACCTGTGTTCAAAAAAAGGCTTGTGTTCATTTCTCATGTTGATTTTATTTAACAACAAGGTAAAAAGTACTTTGGAAATATTGCCTTCTATATTTGTTATGATAAATGGTTATGATTACTCTTTCATAACTAACTGAAGGTTTTCTGTTTTAGGCCCAGAAGCTCCAGAGGAGAAAAATTGCCTGTGTTTGAATATAATTATCAGTGAAGCAAGAACATTTGAAGCACCTTGCCTAAAGAAAACTTGGGTACAGAGTCACTTGACAGACTTAGCTGTGGGTTTTTTTTTTGTTTTTTTTTTTTTAACCTAAATTAGTCACTGGACCCTGCTGCCTGATACTTGGACCTGTTTGGAATTTTTCTTATGTGGCTCTAAGGGAATGCTTTATTATGGCTGCTGTTGTTCAACAGAACGACCTAGTATTTGAATTTGCTAGTAACGTCATGGAGGATGAACAACAGGTATGATTGGGCTTTTGTATATCATTTGTTATGATTTCTTCACTTAATGTTTACTTCAAAAGACAATAAAAGAAACTTATACTAAAGTAAAAATTTCCAAATTAATTTCTAAATTAGAGATTTGGTGATATTGTACTCTTAGGTTTTAAGGACCAGTTCATTTATAAATTATGAATCTTATCCTTAGTTTTGATGTTAACAAGGAAGTAGCACTTTTGAGGTTCTGCTTGTTTTTCTGCAAAATGAAACTAAACAGCAAATTCCTTAAACAATTATTTCAAAATACTTTGAAAAAGTATTAAGTTCTTGAGTCATACTAAGAGTGTCTTCTTACATGGTGTTTAGTTGTGTAGAAATGGTGGCTGTAGTACTTATATGTAATTTTATAGTTCTATACAGTTTTAATATGTGTAGTTAATTAACATTTATAATTGTGGGCTGTCATGTAACATCCATCATTTCAGTCTAAAGCATGTGACTCTGAGGAAGTTACTCAACAACTTCTTTAGATCTGAATTTCATTGTCTATAGAATGAAGGCATTACACTGAAAGGCTTCCAGATCTGCTCTCTTCATTGAATTTATACAAGATGTACATATTACTGTTTTCAGAATATAATTTGGAGAAAAAAATTCCAAGAGATAATGAGTAAAGTATCTAAAATAAATTCTAGTCCTATATTTTTGGGCGGAGAGTGGGAGCAGCGGGGCGGTGGTGGGCCAGAGTTTCTTGTGACTATGTATTTTCTGAGTTCATAAAAAGTATTTTAATTAGGATATATAAGGAATGTTAAGTATGTTATGGGAGAAATGGTGTAAATGTTGTAGGACTCAGTTTACTGGGAAAAATATTTTGTAGATATGTGGCACTGTAGAATAAGCACTGAACTGCTAACCACAAGGTTCAAACCCACAAGCCACTCCTTGAAAACCCTATACAGGGTTGCTATGAGTCAGAACTGACTCGATAGCACTTAACAACAATAATAAGCTTTAAAATATTTTAAATATGGTTGATTTGTATATAATAAGCCATAGATGGACTCTAGTGTGGCAACAATGGTGAGATTGGCCCAGGATCAGGCAGTGTTTTGTTCTCCTGTGCTTAAGGTCGCTATGAGTCGCTACGACTCCATGGCACCTAACAACAACAACAACAACAATCTCCAATATCTACCTCTAATGGGCCAACCATGATGCATCATGCTTTTATCCTAAAAACATAGGTGCTACAACTAATAAAAATGGATTTCTCCTTTTTGTAAGGCATTATAATTTCCTAATTGTTTGTATTGTGTTGACATTGAACTGACAGAATAAAAAGTAAATAAATAAACCTATAAAAGTAAGAATTTGGAATTAGCTGCCTTAAAATCAACATGTTCTTGTCCTAGGAGGAAAAAAAAAATTGAGGGTAAGGACTGCTTTGTCTCAATTTAAAACATGTTAATAATTAATGTGGGTTGAATCTAGAAAAGATAGAGAAGATATTTTAGGGGGAGAAAGTGTTTTGAATTTGTTCTAGAACAGAATGTTTATGTCTCTGCTAATGTTTGAAAACAGACAGTGTCCTCACTGTGCAGCCCTCTTAGATGACAGTCCTGCTGTAGATCCCATAGCTGTCAAACTGGATGTGATGAGGCTTCATCTTGGTATGTGGCAACAGAGGACATAGTCTAAACCACTCACTGGTACACACAAGTGAGTGGCTTTGAGCTCTTCTGTCCATAAGAAACACATTTTACATTGTGGTTCAGTATATATACATACTTAGGGTTACTATGCCTAAAGCACTTAGTTTCTTGTGCGCAGAGAGATTAATTATGCCTTTGGATAAAGAGGTGATGCTCTAGCTGAATTCCAAAATGTGTATCTGTATTTTCTTAGTTATTTTTATCTAGCAAAATGAACTTACTAGTTTTCTTCAGATATTGTTTGTTGTAAGGACTTTACAGATGTTAACTGTATCAGGTAAACACTGCCATACCCATTTTACAATGAGGAAACTGAGACAGTGGTTAAATGACTTGCCTGAAGTCATATACCAAACCAAACTCCAAATCCACTGTCATCAAATCAATTCTGACTCATAAGGACCCTGTATGGGACCAGGCAGCCTCATCTTTCTACTGAGGAGTGATTTTAACCACAGAACTTATGGTGAGCAGTCCAACACCTAACCCACAGCACCATGAGGGTTCCTTACTATTAATTATTATTATTTTTGCTATTTATTGTGAATTGAGTGAAGGTCTACAGACAAGGTCATCAGTTTTCCATTCAACAAATAATATACTTGGTTTCATTTCCGTGATTGCAATCCCCTCTGGAACAACAGTCATCCCTTTTCTCCCTGTGATTCCTGTTTCTCTTCCATCCTCCTTCCTGTTCCTTCCCGCCATGGCCCTTAGGTACATGTTGCCCCTTTGATTTTGAATGATGGACCGTTCCCATCATTCATCGTTAGCATATTTTATTAGTGTTGTTATTCCCCCTATATACCTATCTACTGCTTCACTGAAAGAGAGGGTGTGTTCCTTTCCAGACCTGAAGGGTGGTCCACGGCTGCAGTCTCAGGTTCCTCTAGTCTCTCTGACTAATAAGCCTGGCCTTTTGGTAAAAAAATAAGTTTTTGAGTTTTGTTTCACACATTATGTCACTCTTTCCAGGACCTTTTTCTAATGTGAGCCCATTCAGGGCATTTGGTAGTGGTATCTGGGCACAATCTGGTTTTTCTGGTCTCAGGGCCATTGAGACTGATGCTCCCTGTATCTTCAACTGTCTTCATTATTCTTCTGCCACCCATCCTCTTCTTGTATATTGCCCTTCCCATCACCCAAGCTAACATGTGTCTTATCTTATAGCCTGTGAATTACTCTTCCCTCCCTTCAATCCCTGGTAACCATCAAATTATGTTTATTTTAGTTTGGAAACTTTTTTTTTAAGCTTTTACAATAGTGGTCTCATACAATATTTGTCCTTGTGATTGACTAATCTCACTTAGCATACTGTCCTCAAGTTCATCCAGTTTATGAGGTGTTTTGCAATTCATTGTTATTCTTCAGCATTGCATAGTATTCCATTGTGTGTATGTACTAAAGTTTGTTTATCCATTCTTCGTTGTTGGGCACTTAGGCTGACTCCATCTTTTTGCTATTGTGAATAGTCCTGAGATGAACATCGGCATGCATACGTGTCCTGGCTTGTATTGCTTGTGAATATATACCTAGGAGAAGGATTGCTGGGTCATATTTGTATTTCCAATTTTCTTTTAAGTGAGTAGCCATATCATTCTCCAGAGTGGTTGTACCATTTTCCAGTCCCACCAGCAATGTAGGAGGGTCTCAGTTTCATCACACCCTCACCAATACTTGTTGTTTTTTGTTTTTTTGAACGTTAGCTATTAGTGCTGATGTGAGATGGTATCTCCTTGTTTTGATTTTCATCTCTAGTGGCTAATGATCAAGAGCATTTCTTCATGTATTTGTTAGCTGCCTGGATGTCTTCTTGGTGAAGTGTGTGTTCATTTCTTGGGCCCATTTTTAATTGTGTTGCTGGTCTTTTTTTGTAGAGGTGTTTTAGTTTTCTATAAATTATGTTAGTCTCTTGTCTCAAGTCATTGCAAAAAATTTTTTTCCTAGGCTTTATTAATATAGAGGATTTTTTTCACTTTTTATTCTTTCAGCAAAATATTTTAATGCACATAAGTTTCTAATTTTTGGGTAGTCTCAGTCATCTCTTTTGTCTTTTACTGCTTGTGCATTTTTTGTAATGTGTTGATAGTGTATGTATGCCATGTATTAGAGTCCCTATATTTTCCCTCGTTTTTTATTGATGGTCTTTATAGTTCTAGGTTTTACATTTCAATCTTTAATCCATGTTGTATGTTTTTGTTTATGGTGTGAGATATGGGTCGTGTTTCATTTTTCTGTAAATGAATTTCCAGTTTTGCCAGCCACTTTGTTGAAGAAACTATTTCTTCTCCAGCTAATGGGTTTTGGCTGTATGTCAAAATCAGTTGACTGTATGTGGATGGATTTACTTTTGGGTTTTCAATTCTGTTCCATACATAAAGATCTATATATCTTTAATTGTACCAGTACCAGACTGTTTTGACCACTATGGCTGTGTGGCATTTTTTGAGATCAGAGAGTGAGAGGTCTCCAACTTTGTCCTGCCTTTTAAGCAGTGCTTTGCTTATCTGAGGTCTCTTTCCTTTTCATATAAAGTTTGTGATAATTTTTTCCATAATGATTTTGGAATATGGATTGGAATTATATTGTATGTATAGAATGCTTTTGGTAGTGTTGACATTTTCACAAAGTTAAGGCTTCCTATCCATGAGCATGATATATTCTTCCATTTTTGTAAACCTCATTTGGTTTCTTATGGTAGTGTTTTGTAGTTTTCTTTTATAGGTCTTTTATTTATCTAGTTAGATTTATTCTCAAGAATTTCATCCTTTGGGTGGCTATTGTAAATGATACTGTTTTACTAATTTCCTTTTCAGAGCTGTCTTAATTAGTATAGAGGAATACAACTGATTTTTTGTATATTGATATTATACCCTGCCACTTTGCTGGGTCCTTCAATAAGTTTCATTAATTTTCTTCCTGAATCTATGTCTAAGATCTATGTCTAAGATCATATCATCTGCAAATAGAGATTTTCATGAAGAATAGATGCTGGATTTTGTCAAATGCCTTATGTGCATCATTCGATGAAATCATGTGGTTCTTTTCCTTTTCAAAATTCATATGTCCAATTATACTGGTTATTTTTCTAGTATTGAACCATCTTTGCATCCCTGGAATGAATTTCACTTGGTAATGCTGTTTTATTTATTTATTTATTTATTTAGACATATTGTTGAATTCTCTTGGCCAGAATTTTGCTGAAAATTTTAGTATCAGTGTTCATGAGGAATATTGGTCTGTAATTTTATGTTTTGGTGATGTCCTTGCTTGGTTTTGGTATGAGGGTTATGCTTGATTCATAAA